GTTGTGGAGTTTTGGTGTTTTAGCAGAGTCGGAGTCATCAAAAAATCTGCCGACTTTGACTCCTTTTTACTTCCCAACTTGTTATGTATATACAACAGAAAAGTATTGAAATCGTGTCAAATTTGAACTCAATGTTTCTTTTGCAAATCTACACATTTGGAGACCTCCCGAACCCCCTAAAAAAGTCAATAAAAGAGGAAAAATTTGCATACGTGTGTGTTGGCGTCTAATTTGTTTAATTTCTTTATTTTCTGTTCTGAGATATTAAACAATATCTCAGAATGGGTAAAGTTTAAGAAACAAAATGTGGCACTGTGGCATACATATAAAGGGGCATTAATACTATTAAATTTTGGTTCTTAATTAAAGGTCGACAGGGTGAAGACATACAAGGGATCATGTGTCATATGTCTTAATGAATATTTTACTAGTTATTATCGTTCAAAATTTAAAAAATAAAAAGTAAACTCGTCTCTACCCTCAAAGTAAACTTTTTTGTCATTTTATAATAGCACAGTAAAACCCGTTAAGATATTCTCGCCTACGATGTTAGAATATGTATAGGGACATGATTTAGTTCAACCACTCTGATGCTTAATAACTAACTCCATCTGTTAAGCCATCTGACTCCAATTGTAACCACTCTGACCACAGAAATTATTAGGCTTCAAACAGGGTGAACGAAATCATGCACCCCACACACAGTCTAACATCCACACATACAGAAAACCCGAATCTTTTGCATACCTAGACATTTCGAGGTGTCCTGAGTCCAAAAATGCAAAAATTTGGGAGGAGTCATTTTTTGACTGATCGCTACACTTTTCCTCTGTTATATATAACAGCCAGAAAATAAAAATTATTGAATACATACTTATATATTGACTATGTCATTACTTAGAGGAGTATTTTAGCTTTGGAATAAAAAAGTTGTATGTTCTATCTTTATTAGAACTATATTTATTGAAGCTTATATTCTGATGTCATGAGAATTTTCGGGCCTACTTTGTTAACAAGTCTGCCCCTGGTCAGAGTCAGATGGTGAGGAAAAGTCAGATTTGGAGTCATGTAAAAATCTACAGACTCCACAGCCCTGCTTTTGATACATTTAAATTTGTTTTTAATTCTAAATTTTTTCATAAAATCTGATATTTATATTTGCTTGCATTTGCTTATGAGATGTTTAAAAAATTTAATATTTTTAGGTAGTAACTTTTAATTTAATCTATAAAAAAACACAGTGACAGTCTTTTGGGTTCATTTAAAACACTATCACCAATGACAGCAACACTTAGTTTATAGGAAAGCTACAATAGGAAGCTAGAATAAGGAAGAAGAAAAATTGTACAATTTCTCATTGAAGAAAACCAGGTGAAAGCACAAAACAACATTGAAAATTTCAATATTCTAAAATCCATAGCAAATATGAGATAACACACATGCTTGCTTGAATAAAAAAAATATCAAATGATGGCATTTGCACTTAAAAATGATGATATTCTGTACAGGAATGTCTCCAATTCTCAAACTGTGTTAGGGTGAAACCACTGATTGTAAGAACACTATGTTGTACGGGGATATCACCAATTCTTGAACCATGTTATAGGAATGCTGTGTTGTATGAGAGATACCTGTATATGTACAAAGTTTCATAGAAATCAGTTTAGCTGTTCTCACATGATACTTGAACAAACAAACTGACAGCAGATATGAATTCAAATTTACAAGTGCTAGATTTGTATGTTAATACATGTTTTTTTCTTTAATGCTACGATGTTGAAACCTTGATATAAACACAGTTTTGGTCCAATCAGATCAAATTAAGGCTGTCCATATAGGCCCTATACATTTTTAAAAATTCAATATGGTTAAAGCAGCAAAAACTAATGCTGAATTGCTAAGAAAGTATAGTAAAACCTCAATTTAATGGACTAATTTGGGCAAGAGGTATCATTAAAGCCAAAAGTTCATTATATAATATAGCAGATTTTCCAAATGCATGCATTAAAAAACTAACATATTAGATAATTTATCTGTTTTTTCTTATGTAGACATGTTTGTACAGTATAATTAAATTTCAGTATGTATGAGAAGTTTGTTTATGTGATGACCATAGTTTTGAGACTGTAAGAAACAAGTATGATCTAAATAAAAATAAATAAATAAGCAAACATTTTTTGGAAATACACATTATGAGCAATGACTCTTGGATTTAAAAAGAAAGTAATAATAACCTGTTAATTTTTATGGACTCTGTATGACATATGAATGGAAATTTTGCCCATTAAATTAAGGTTTTACTGTACTTACAAGAGTTTAGATCATTATATTTACATGGAAAAATTCATTATTATAATGTATGCTAAAAACTGTTTCTTGCTAAACAATGGTTTCAAGTTTCTCAGCATGTTGAAACATCCTTACATCAGCACAACATGACATTTTGGCTCATTTTGATGCATCAGTTGATCATGGATAAATTCTAGTTGAACTAAAATAAAACTAACTTTAGTAGAGTTCATGATATTAGTTAAAAATGAAACATTACTATCAACTTTGAAAATAAATTTATAATTACTTAATAAGAGAGTATATTCATTTCTTCTCATTTGTACAGGACTATAAATAAAACTATACTGCTACTTTAGACCAATGACATAACTATTAGAATGAAGATAACTAGATTAGCTTGTAAACAATTGTATAGGCCTATATAGAAAAAATTCAATAATGATTGATTATGTAAGGAACCAAGTCCGAGCGTTATTTTTAGTTATTTTTTATTTTGCTTTGTATTCTATTTTTGTTGGGGCTTATGTTTTGTTAGGACGAAGGTTTCCTCACCAATCACCTTAGAAACTTAAAAATAGAAGAAAGAGAACCAACTCACCAAGAAAAAGTGCCATAGAAAAAACTCACACACGCACTCCCGAGCGGAAAAAAGTAAGTCCGCACCGAGAAAGAGGGGGGAGACCCCACAAGCACAACTTAGGAACTTGCTAAACCTTAAAGAATAAAACATCCTGAAAAATTGTAAAAAAGAATAATGTAAAAGGTTGGCAAGTATTGTCGGGAAATAGGCTGCCAGGCAGAAAGGAAAAGTTGACTGTTAGCGATAAGTATGTAAATGAGGGGAGTGATCTCACTCAGAATTGTGACGTCACCTCACAGTATAAAGTCTGAACCTCAAGTGAAGATGACCGAGGTGAGCTTCTGTTAGCAACAAGCGTGGTGAGCTTTGTAGCAACAAGTGACAAGAGGTGTCCGATAGCGATACAGTGGTTCCAAGGAGATTTTGAAGTTATTCGATTTGTGGATCAAAGATTAGAGAAAGTCTTCAGAGTTGAGGAAAAAGGTTCCTAGTATATTGAGGTGACAATTAGGACCTTAGTTCATGAGAATTGTTGTACATAAGTTAAGTCTTTGAATTTTTTGTAGAGTTCCAAAGGGGAATAGACTTAAATTAGCAAATAGATTGAATTGAATTTTGTTGGGTTGATTCTTATTGATTTTTTTTCTTTGAATAAATTTGTTGTTGATTGTTACTAAATTTTTGTACATAGTCGTTATTAGAATTATTAAATATTGAATTTGATTTTGAGTAACTTTGTCATTATTTAATTCGGTGCACACTTAAAGTCCAGGCCTGGCACATTAACGCGAATCCACGTAAAGTACCCGTTAGGTAACGCCTATTTCCGGCACAAAGTCATGTCACTAATCGTTGTAAAAGGCGTAAAAATAATATAGTACTTTACAATTAGATAAGTTATAAAATTTTATTGAAAATGTAATTTTATTCATAACTGACTCAATTGCACACCTCTTCATAAAACATTATTCCAACATATTTTATAACATCATAATTTTCAAATCCCTCATGTCACCTAATGTCACATGTTTAGTCCCTCAATCTAAAAAGTATAACAGAACAGACATTAATAAGATTTGCTCTCAGACAAAATTAAAACACCTATGCACTTCAATCTACAAATTTTGGTGTATGTAACTAGCACTTTTAACATGCATAATGCATATTTCAGGCATTTTAAACACACAGCAATGCATATATCTGGCATTTTAGGTGCAGATGTATGCACATATATTGCAATTCTAAACATATAAATCCAGCCCTTACTTATATATGTAAAAGATTATAAGTATAATCCATTTTAAATGTATCTACTAACTTAAAGTAGTTATTTATATTAGGGCTTATCAAACCATCACTGGTGTGATAAGCCCTAACATAAATAACTACCCTAAGTTAGTAGATATGTTTAATAATAGTAAAAGCAAAAAAAAATCATATAATCTATGTATTGCTAATGATGATACAGTAATAACATAACAAATTGCTATGTAATAAACTGAGTGATCCTGAACCCATCAAAGAAATCTCACAAAAGAAGAAATGAAGTGGCAAAGTAACTTCAAAACATCTTGAAAGTCTATATCTCCAGAATATACAAATAATTCTTTTGGGATTTTTGTTCGTTAGGTCAATTTCTATAAACCTAAATAACCACCATTCATACACAATCAGGCCCAAATTATGTCTAACAAAATAAAAAATTTACAAAATTCATGAAATCAGTGACATTTTGTATTTAATAAGTAATTACATATATAAATAACAGAATGAAATGTATATACAATAGACTTTTCCACAAATACTTTGAATAGTTGAAGTGTACAGTAATATTTACACATGTCAAAATTGATATTTTTATTAAAATTTCTATAAATTAAATAAAAAATCCATTGTAATGATAGAAATTAATTAAAAGTAATATTGAAAATAGAATTATTTAATTAATTAATTTTGCCCTCAAATTGGCCTCTTTAAATTTTAATTATTTGTCAATCTTTTAAGTTATTGAATGACTCATTATAATTTTAGTCCTTCTTATAATTAAATATTTTCGGTAATTTACAATTTATTTTTTAATAAATATTTACTAAAACTTTAATTTTATCTGATAATAATAGACACTCACCTTTATAATCCCTATTTTGAAAGAAATGTCAAGATATTCTGAATACCAGATAAAAAAAACAAGCGCACAATTCACAGTACTTAAAACTCCAATAAAATGACAACAACAACTAACTCAGATTAACCGAAATACATCAAAATATTTTAATATTAACAGCATTACGTTACACGCGTTCCGCCATCTTTGAAAAGAAAAGACGTCATTTCTGGTTCCGGTTTTGTTTTTTCTATTAACTTTTATTTCTTTTGTGTAACGTTTTGTCAAATATTTTTAATACGAAAATATGTCGTGCGTTAATAATAAATATAAATTATTTTAGCATGATTCGATTTAATCAATTTAGAACTGTAGAAACTTTTCATAAAAGATGGCGTTAATTAATAGGATACATTTGTCACCAGGAGCGCTGTTAGGCCCATGGAGCTAATCAGTGCTGTGCTATGTCTATAATTTTAACATCGATGTCAAACATCGATGTTTGCCTAAGCATCGATGCTTGATTTCGATGTCGGATTTCACATCGATGTTTGATCGATGCCCATTGGAACATCGATGTTCAATCAAGATAAACTCAAACAATTTTAAAAAAAATAACAAAACCAGGTTTGTTCAAACAGAAGTTCCTGACGCATGCGCAATGTCATTTTACAATGCGAAGAATAACGTGCATGCCGGTTCTAAATCAGTTACAGTTAGGGACTAGGGACTTGCGTAGGAGTAACGTAAGTAACCTAAATTAAGAAAGAACAGGTACAGATAACTTAGCTCTATTTGATACGTGTACGATCGTACATGCAA